AAGTCTTGGACACACACGATGTGCTGGCTGCACTACACCCTGATGGCAAACAACTTTCTAGATTCTTTTTGTGAGTGTTCAAGTGTTCCTAAATTAGAGAAAATGCCCATTTTTTCATCACGAGTCTCAGCACCAATGTTATTTTACAGAGATAGTGGAAATCTTTTTTTTTTCTTTTTATCTCAAAAAACTTGAAAATAGATTAATTAGCCCAGAACTTAATCTGATATTTCTCTCTTCATTCATGTCTTTAAAACCAGAACTTTGTAAAGTTATTTTAGTCAAGTACTTAATTTCTGTGGGGAAAATAAATACATAAATAAAAAAGGTTGTTATAAGTTCAGGCTAAGTATATATGCAGTTTTCCTACAGGTTCCACTTCAGATCAGCCTTGGAAATCAATAATTTACAAATTCATTTTTTATTGGTTAGAAGGACCATATGTTCTAAAGTATTAGCTGTTGGCCAGCGGGTACTGTCATGACAGACAGGAATTAATACAACTGACAAAGAAACTGTCCACTTGCATTTTATATTTTGTGACAGCTACATTTCTTCTGCTGCTTTTAAGCATGTTTTTCATTTTTAATAAATTCTGAATTCTGCAATCTGTTCTGAAAGCAGACTTTGTTTTTAATCCCACAGTCCAAACCAGCTACTGCCAACTCTAGTTCTCTGAAAAAGTTACTTATTGCACCATAGTTATTGCCTTGTCACATCTGGCAGCTTTCACTAATGGTCTCTATCTCTTTATATGTATTTATCCTTGAAAACTAAAGAAGCAAAAATGCATCGCTGGTTCCCTCTTGTGGTAACCTTTTTGAGTTGCACACAGAATGGCTGTACTCGTATAGAAAAAGTAAATTGCAAATATTAGTAAAATTTATTGTGGTTGTTGTTCTGATGTTTGAAGAGTATCACTTTCTTGCTAATTTACAGACAAATCCATATGCATGCCCCTCTGTTAGTGTTACAAGACTTAGGTTGCTGGATTTAGTTTTTCTTTTTGGAGTTTAACCGTGCTATTTAGGTGTTCAGAATTTCAGGTCTTGCTAGCAGTCTGCTAGAGAAGACTTGAGAACCATTGTTCATTATGACCTGCTGGTTTCAAACAAGCCCTCCTCCTCTTTCACCTGTATTTTAATTGAATCCTTGTCTGTGTGGTGTGTGGTGTTATGTGTCAGGGTGTTCAATAATGAAGCAGATCCATGGTGGTGGGACAAAGGCAGCAGATACAGTTGAAGGCCTTGAGCCTACTTGTCACCGCACTGATGCAGCACGGCCTTCTTCGCGTGGAGCCAGCATGGGATGCCAGACCACACAGCGGGTTGTACGATCAACGTTTCTGCATCTGCTACTGCTATAAGTATTGTGATACTCTCTGGAGGACACAGGATCCCAGATTTCCTTTGAAAAGGATGCTGAAGTTTTAAGGGAAGACTTGGAAAATTAAGATGAGCTTTACTTTAAAAAAGGAACGTAAGAGCGAACATGATAAAAATATTCACGGGCGTGGATAAGGGAGAGGAGAAAGGTCGAGATGTGATTTTCTTTGTTTTGTACTTCAAGAATGAAGACATATATTGGAAATGAAAAGTAGGAAACTCAGAGCTGATTAGGGTTTTTTCTTTGGCTGGGTGTTTTTGAGCATAGGGTGCACCCTATTGACAAAACCAAGAAGTCTGCAAAGTTCACTGAGATCCGTATCAGGAAACAGGGCACTTTGGGGCAGCTCTCTCACATGCGCCTATGGGAGAGTTCCTTGCACCTCCTTGTGAAGCATATGGAGCTGAAAGCTGGAGTTAGACCCTGGGCTGGCAAAGCCTCAATCGCTTGCTGTATTAATCCATAGAGGAGTGGGGTCTTCTGTGTGTCAAGAGGAGCTTGGAGAAAAGCATCTTAGTGGCAGAGTTACAAGCTAACAAGCACGTAAGTGAAGCTGTATGCATTGGCAGAGCAGCATGTTGGGGGAAAGGAGAGGATAAGGATAAGCTTTGGCATGGTGGATTCATAACCAAATTATTTCTCTCTTGGCTTAGCACTGGAGAACAACAAACATTCCCTTGGGAAAGAAATTTGACAGTTCACTTCCTCCTGGATGTTAGCTCTGCTTCTGAAATGAAAAGCACTTGGAATTTAAGAGCTATTTCCTAGACGGAGTACGCAGACAACCTCCTCACACAGGACTGAAGGAAGGGGTTCATTTGGGGAGAAATCATACAGGTTTTGGCGGGAGGAGAAGGCGAGGTGGAAAAGGAATGATGCTACCTTCTGCAAAATGCTTTTGATAAAATTAAAGCTGAGCCAGATGGTGATGGTACAGGCTAATGTTACCATATGGCAGGATCAGTCATGCAAGAAATATGCTACTTCAAAGAACGTGTGAAACTGATAGATGTTAATATTCCAAATATTTGAGATTTGTGTCTTGAGCATTCTCATAGGCTGTGCAACTGGAAGAAGATGCATGTGTTCAGGAAGCGTGCACTTGGACTGCAGTAGCTTTCCAGCGGGATGTTTCTCCTCCACTGTCCCCAGAGGTAGGAAGCATCTGACTGGGCTATTGCTTTGCTCTCCCCACACAGAGCGCTGGGTGCACATGCAGAAGATGTATGCACCTTTGGCTCCATTCGTCAGAAAGGGGAATGGAGACATTGGAAGGGGAAATGACTCCTTCCAGACACAGCTGGTCAGGGACACTGGCACCACCAATTCCTCCCCAGTTTGCAATTTGCAGGACATCCAGAGCTGAGCTGAGTAAGCCCAAGCTGAGAAGTGACAGATTTGCCTATGTAGGAGCCAGAGAAAGCCCCAAAATGCTACTCCGGAAGGAGGAGTTGAAGTGCATGTGCTGGCTGCTATGGCCGAGTCGTGGCTCCTAGCAGTTAATTCACCTCCCTGTCTCTGCTAACCCTAGACTGTGGCAGCAGAACTGAGCCCATGTCTCTAGGAGCTGACTCCTCTGCTACTACCCATTCCCACATTTCCATCCCCCATGTCGCAGTGAACACAAGACCCTGGCTGTCACCAAAGAGGGATTAACAATCAGGATTGCTGGGGATGGTGAAAAGTTTAGAGACAGTTTTGTCCTAGCTAGAAAGAGAATTTGTTTCATCTTCAGAGTGTGGGAGACATTTTCCGTTTTGGCAAGCTAAATGCTACCAAGAGGAATAGGAATGGTAGCCTTAAAAATATTTGTGGTAGAGGAACATACATGGCATCAGGGGCATGGAGGCACATGGGCCTGCCTTCTCTGGGCAAGAAAATGGGCTTTGGGTAAGAAAATGGGCAGAGGTAACTAGCTTTGGTTGGTAAGAGACCATCCCAGCTGGTGTTAGAGGGCAGGCTGAGGCCTTGCTTATGGATTCGGAAGGGACAGCTGCATTATTTGCCATTGCTCAGGACTTGACTCTCTTCAGTCAGTGTCCATGAGCACCGATTAGACAGATCTCAAAGTCAAGCAAGCTTTACATTATGGCTAGTTTATTTTTTTCCCAGCCATGTCCTTAGAGGTACACACATTCTTCTGCTGATGGATACAGAGAGACACGGATTTGGAACTGGACAGTATTTGGGCATTATAAGTTTTTAATACTTACAGAGCAGATCTCTCTTTCTTTCTGCTAGTTTGTCCAGCAAGAAAGAAATGAAAGCTTATTTCTGAGTGATGAGTTGTTAGAGCAGAATTCCTGTGCAGGATTTCCCCTACCCATCTGCCTTTACTAGAAATACATTGTACCGTTAAGGCTGCTGTTAAGTGCATTTTCACCAACTGGTATACAAACCTTATTTGCCTACTTTACCAATAGTGGTAGGAAACAACAGTATTTTTATCTCAATTAAAATAAACTTTCCCTTGGTTTTGTGAGATTCAATAAGGGTAACATTAAGGATCTGACAAAAGCAATCAAACAAATGCAGAGACTACGTAATTAATTTAGAGATTTCTGTTAGCTGGAAGAAGGATTTTCCAAATGTCCTGGTATCTGTCTTCTATGCTGTCATTACTGCGCATCCCATTGCACGTCACTGGTGAAAAAGTTTGCACAGTGCAAGCCTCACTGCTGTTTCGCATGTGTGGAGGAGTCCATGCTTGCTGTAGGGACATGACTGAGCTGTTCTTCCTTCCCACTTATTCTTAAGTAACTGGTATGTCCTGACACCTGCAGAATCTTGCAGACTCCCCAAACTTGTGCAGCTGTGCTGTGCATCTGCAGCAGATGGGGCCTGATCCTTATCGACCAACAGTGGAAAGCAAATATGGCATTACTTAACCAAATGTTTAAACATTCAAGCAAGGCATGCAGGCAGGAAAAGGAGAACTGTAAAATGCTTGCCAGCAGCTTGTGGCACACATTTCCAAATCAGGATGTTGTTCCCATCCCATACATCCAGGCTGTGCTGTATGCATGTTGGTAAACAGGCAAATGCCTAGTTTAGCATTTGTTTTTCAACCAAGCCCAAGGTGATGGCATTTAACATGCCAAAGCTGCTAGTAACTTCTTTTGCAGAAGTTCTTCAATTATCGCCTCCTCTCACCAGAATGACAGATGTAGAGTTGTCCTTGAGATGGAATTTCTCTGCAAAGGCACCACCTGTCGAAGCTGGTGTCGTGTGTCAGTGAAGAAACAGCAAGACAACTGAATGTTACAGCTGGTGTTTCTGCCATTTTCCACAACGCAGGGGAGAGGACAGGCTGTACAGGATATTTTGCACAGGGATGGTTACAGGAGCTTACAGGGACCTTGCGTTAGAATTGAGAACATGGCTGGTTAGGCTAGTGCTAAATGCTCTTGAGATAATGGCTGGTATGAGAGGGATTCAAAATGGTCCCAAACTTGAGCTTGTTCAAATCCTTTGGAAAAGGATGACAACTTGAGACCACTAGCTTAGCTTTAATGAAGTGCGTAGGCAAGAATATTTACTCCATTCTGCCCTACCGTGCGAAGTACGTTCGAGTCTAACAGGAAAAGCATCTGCAGTGATGGGGAAGGAGGGCATTACAGCTCTTCACTCTCTGGTAGAATTCGCACCCAACCTTGTGGTGCTCTGTTGAAGCTGGGTCTGTGGGAAATCAGCTCCAGAGTGCTCAGGTTATCAAACTCCATCAGAGGCAGAGTGAACGTGTCGCTGACCTGTGCTCTGTCAAACGGCGTGGGAGTCCTGCATCATGAGAAAAGGTAGACTTAGCTCATCACAGAGAGAGGTTCTGTGTGTTTTTAGTGGTGAGGGACAGGAAAAGCAGATCAGGAATTTTTAATTCCTTAGGAGTCTGGTAGCAACATGACAAGACCTGCAGCAAATGACAGACCTTTTCTTCCTACCTAAGATGCCATTTTAATCCCTTTTAGCCTAGCAAGATGCTTCTGTGATATAGAGCAAACCTCCATTGAAGCTCTGGAGGAGTTTGCAGTGCATAAGCTTTAGTGACCATACGGGAGAAAGGGGAAGCCACAGTCTCTGTTTTGATGGGCTCTACCAGCAGCCAGAAAGATGTACCATATGTGAAAAGGATCCTATTAGGAGAGCAGGTGATAGGGACAAGCTCGCTGATCTTTAAAAAAGGACTTGTCTGCAGTTACGTGTTCAGGTAAGGACTAAGGCTATGCTAGGGCTGCCTCCTGATTGCTCTAGCACATGTTCAGGCAAATGTCTTTCTTGTGGCCCTCACTCCAGTCCACATTTTGAGACAGCTTCTTTTGAGCTATGACTAATGGGAGGAGCAGTGTGGGGACAAGATCTGTCATCCCTTTCTGGAACAATGTGAACAGGGACCAAGGAACAGAGCACCAGGCCCCCAAAGAGCCAGGAAATGGTGGTTTTGGAGTATTGCACATAGGCTGATCTAGCAATGAGGCATAGCTGGGAATGTTTGCTTTGGGAAGTGTTGTTCTGACATGAATAACATGGCACTGTTTTGCAACAGCATCCTGGGGAGAAATGAGGAGGGAAAAGGTAAATGAGAGAATTGTTTCAGATATTCACTCCCTGTCTGGCAAAAGGCAGTCATTCTCAAAGCAGCATTTTTGCTGTTTCTCAAGGTGGCACACCTTAGCAAGCTAGCTGCATACTTTTTCCTGATTTTTTTAAGGTTGGAATAAATCAGTCTGTTTTAATGTTGTGGTGAGGAGGTGGTGGACTTTCCCTTGGCCTGTGACAAATCCGAACTGTGCTGAGATTCACCTTGCTATAGGCGAAGCTGCTGGCTTCTCACTAGCTGATTCAATCCAAAAAGCATGTTTTTCTGCATTTTGGTATGCAATGAACTGAGAAGTGATTTGAAAGCCAACAGCTTGGAAGATCATGAAAAAAAAGTTAGAAGTGGATTGGCTCTCTGCTGCTTTATACCTCAGTGAAGAATTAGAGGAGGTGGCAAGAGGCTTGGTGTTAAATTAGTATCCATCTGTATTAAATAACAGTTCAAGACTTTAAATAGAAAGGCAGTGTGTGAGAGGGGAGAAATGGTACAGGGCAAAGCATGATTCAGACACATGCCCTTGCTTCAGTCCCATAAATAAATATGGAGGCAGAAACATGGTTAAATGTTGAAAGAAAAGAAACAAGTATCTGCAGCAGCTTCTAGTTCTCCTTCAAGAGAATCTCTGATGTTGCTGCACTAGAAAACTTTACAGATTATTGAAAAACCTGGAAGGAGGTACTAAGGAAACTCCTACAGCCCTTTTGCTTCTCCATGCCTTCCCTCAAACAGTCAACTGAGCTCCAGCCTTCTTCCTTTTGGCTGCTCTCTGAGTTCTTGCCTCTTCTGTTAACCCTCTTCCCTTCCCTCTCTCCTTCCTCCTCCAGTACTGATTAAAGCACAGTTGGCTTTTCAGTACAGAGATGCATGGGGAAGAATGCCTGCCTGGAGATGGCATGGCAGAGAGGAAACACAAGTGTGCAACTTGCCAGGCTCTAGGGTTAAGCTCCAGCAGGCTGAGAAGAGCCTAAGAAGATGAGAGCAGCAAATGCAAATAGGCAGGATTCCCTCAGCTCTGCCTCAAGCTGATACCTGCCCTTTGGTTTGGCATGGGGCTGTGTTTTCAGGGTGGTAGGGTTGCTAGTTCCCCTGCAGTGCCCTTCTGACAGGTTTTCCAAGCAGAGCAATGATGCTCTATGTGATTTACATTCAAGCACAGTTCTGTGGGCAGTAACTTTACTGAAGTCCACCACTGTAGCAGACAGTCTCAAGGGGAACAGTGCTATTTCCCATTAGAAAACTCCAGTGGGAAACCAGGCAGAATTAATATTTTCACTGCCTTTTCTCGAAAGAAAAAGCTTGACCCGATCCTTCTTTGTTTACACAGCTCCTTTGACATGTACCAGGGGCATAGACTATGTTTTTTTTCCCTCCCTCCTTTCTACCATGTGCTGTTCCTCCTTGAGGCTTCACTGTCTCAGGAGTCCCAAGGAGGAAGGCAGAGCAGGATTAGTGCAGCTCTCACTTTGAGAGCAGGATCCACACGTCTTGTCCCATGCCCGTGCTCCACTAAAGCCCTCCACCACCCTGCTGCAGAGGCTGCACTGGCTGGTGTGTGAGCCCCAGCCAGACTATGATTGGTGTTACCTGTTGAAGCTTCTGAAATCCCCATGAGTAGGTTTCATAAGCAGGTGGTTCTCACTCTCTACAGGGTAGTCCTTCTCGTCAAGGAATTCCTGCCATGGGGAGCGGTAGCCCTTGGGGATGGCAGTGATGTTAAACTTCTCAGGGGGGACTTCTTTGAGGGGACCAGAGTAGCCTGCATTTGAGGGAGAGAGAGCATTGGTAGCTTCAGCAAAAGCCAGGCTGTGGCAACGTGCTCCAGGGCTGGCAGTCCCCTCAACAGGGGGACATGTGGGTTGGGGAACTGCCCTGCCTTTGCACAGCCTTGGAGGGACTTCTGCTGCAGAAGGAAATGTACTTCTAGATGCAAAAATTTTTCTCCGTAAATACAGCTATAGATACATATTATTTAAATGTTCATCCTCATTCCAATGTTTTTAATGATAATCTGAAAAAAAACAAAAGGTGAAAAAAAAAAAATTTTTTCTTGTTTTTTTTTAAAAAAAAAAAAAAAAAAAAAAAAAAAACCTCCTTCTCCACAGGCCTCAGACTCATGTGCGAGTGGAACAGATCATAGTGCCTTGCCCATCTCCCACCTGGTGCCCCTCAACACCAAGATCCTTCCGGCTTTGTGGTGTAGAGAACACTTACCTGGAGCCAGAGCATCTGGGTTGAGGACTTTGCTCATATGCAAGACTCTTTCTGTCTTCTTGGGCACTTCAGGAGGGCCCCCTCGGGCTGATGCCGCAACATGGAGCTCAGAGTGGTACCTCTGCTGTCCCTCAGTGCTGTCACCTCTCTGCAGATGGGAAAGTAAGTAGGTCTCTCAGAAGAATCTCAGAGCAGCTCCTCTGTGCTGCCTAAACCAAGTCTCCCTGGAGAAGGTGGGATGGAGGGAAGCTTTTCCTTTAAGCAAGGGAGTGCAAAGCAGTCACACCTGGGATCCTCAGCAGAGCTCAGAGAAGTAAAAGCAGCTCCCAAGAGAGCAGCTGTGCGCACTATTATCAGAGCTTGCACGTGGGAGCTCTCAGGCTGTCACCTGTCCAGAGCAGCCTCATTCAAGCCCAGAGCCCTGTGTGGAAGCTGAACATCAGCAGCCCCTGAGGCGCCCTTGGCCACTCCTGGGCAGCCACACTTGAACCTGGGGCAGCACCTACTTCTCCACCTACTCACCGACCACTGGTTTGCTGCTCCCTCCACGTAGCCTCTCTCCACACCATGTGATTCTCCTGCCCCTGCACCTGAAAGCTGCAAGCAGAGGGATTAGCAGGGTGCAGAAGAGGCTGAGAGCTGTTACCTTGCTCTTTCGTGCACCCTGAGTGTGACATTTGGCTGTCCTTCGTGACCAGCCCCAACAACTTCCTCTCCTCTCCCTTAGTTTCAGACTAAACTAGCATAGACCTTATGCCTGGCCATGAGCCCTTAAACCCAGCAGTGGGATCCTGGGCTTCACAAGCTGTCTTCATAAAACATATTGCCATTAACAGCGTGTGAATATCCAGCTGCAAAAGACTTTGAGCCCTGCAGAGAAGCGCTTTCCAGCAAAGGCCGTAAAAGCCGGGGAAACACCATCGTGTCTGGAGCTAGGGTACCAGGAACGACAAGGAGACCCACCTTCCTGTAGCCACTGGGATACTCGAAGATGAAGCGCTGCATCCTCCTCTGCCTCTGCTGGAAGAGCTGGGAGCCCCGGTTTGTCCGCAGGGACAGCTCCTCTATCATCACGTCCTGCGGTGTGCTGACCTTCTTGCCCAGGTCCAGCCGGGGGACTGGGAGCACAAGTGGGGAGAACAGCGGGAGCTAAGGCTCTTGTAGCATGGAGGATGCCCAAGGTGGAGGGGACAGCAGTATCCACTGGCTCTGGCTGGGCTCAGCCTTCAGCAGCCCCTTGGACAAGTGTCTGTCCCACAGGCCCTGGACCCCCCACCCGCATGGGAACTGCGCCCATGACTGTGTTCCCTTGGTATGGGAGTCATCAGGGAGTTATCTCAAGTCCAGAGGCTCAAAACAGCCTCTCCTTAGCTAGTGCATAGACCCCTTTTGCCCTCAACAAGCATTTACTGTCCCTTAGGGCTGTAATGCAAGAGGGGACCTAGAAGGAAGGCACTGAGATTCCGGGGGCCTGGGCCAAGGGCTCCAGCCAGAGCTGGATCCGGCATAGGGAATGACACCCCATACTGCCTTGGGAAGTGTGGGAACTCCCAGTGCGCCTTACCATCTCCTGGTTCCGGTCTCATGATGGTCATCGCCTGCTGTCACGCTCCTGCTGTGAGTCCTAGGCCCAGTTCCTGACCAACTGGAAGAGAGAGGCAGCCCCGCAGTGACGACTGCAGCGCAGGGACGTGCCAGCTGCCAGTGTGCTGCAGGGACAAGCCAGGCTCGGGCTTTGCATCCTGGTGCCTAGGTTGTCTCAGCTCTGGGCATTTGTCACTTGTTCATCTCACCCCTGACCCACCTTGAGATTCTGGGGAAGCCCAGACCCTGGAGCCCTCCTGGGCAAGCAGAGGCCGTGTCTGCCCCTGCACCAGCAGCTCCAAGTTAGCAGGAGCTATTTTAAGCCTGTGCCCTGGCTGGAGCAGGAGCTGTCACTGACTCCGCAAGGTGCACGGTGCCCAGACTGACGAGCCCAGCAAGGGAGAAGCCGTGCCCGGGGCTGGCGGGCACCGCTGCCCTCGCAGGGCTCCGGGCACCCCCGCGAGGAGCAGGGCTGGGTTGCTCCTTAGCTTCCAGCTGCCCTCAGGGCAGGGACAAGGCTGGTCCTGCTGGGGAAGGTGGGTTACAGCCCACAGCGTGTCCTGCATACAGCACCGCAGGGAAATGCCCTGGGTTGAGGAGGTCCCCCTTCACCCAGCCTCTGGGCTGGGTTCTCCAGCTGGGGCTGGCAATGGCAAAGCACCAGCGGCCACCTCTCCCTGGGGTGGGGGTTTCTGGGGGTTGTTTCATGGCCGTTGACTCAGGCAGGGGTCGCTACGGGCTGCAGTTTCGCAGTGCCTGGCACAAGGGCCCACATCCTTCTCTATTAAACATTAGCCAGCCTCTGGCGGCATCAGCACAGCCTCCCCTCTGCCCGTCCCGAGCCCAGGGGACAGGCAGTCAGTCCCCTCACCCTGCCTCTCCACACATCTCCCGCCATGCAGGGTGTCCCCATGCCCCACACACCCGCACATTGCCTCCCCTACCTGGCTGGGGGACAGCTTGGACTCCCACTGTGCTGGGGACCAGAGCGCCTCTCCCGCAGCTCTGGGGAGGAGGCTGCAGCTTGGTTTGGCCACCAGCGCTCGGTGGCCCCAGCGAGCCCCTTGCCCCCCTGCCTCTCCACACATCTCCCGCCATGCAGGGTGTCCCCATGCCCCACACACCCGCACATTGCCTCCCCTACCTGGCTGGGGGACAGCTTGGACTCCCACTGTGCTGGGGACCAGAGCGCCTCTCCCGCAGCTCTGGGGAGGAGGCTGCAGCTTGGTTTGGCCACCAGCGCTCGGTGGCCCCAGCGAGCCCCTTGCAGCAGCCCGCAGGCTCCCCGTCTCTTGCCCTGACGTGCGCGGGGCTCCAGGCCGGTGCCAAGGGACAGTGGTTATTTCTGGCTGAGGAAAGGGGCGGAGCAGGGCCGACCCTTGGGGACAGGGATGCCATCACCCCCGCGCGGAGCAGGGCCAGCTCTTGGGGACGAGGACGCCGTCAGCCTGGCGTTGGCAAGCCCAGCGGGTGCTGAGCGCCCCGCGCACGGGCGCTGTGTGCATCTGCACCTACCCCAGCCCCGTCCCTGTGCCGGCCCTAGCAGCACTCGGATGTATTCGCACACCCTCCAACCCCCTCAAGAACGCCCCAGTGCCACCTCTGTGGGGATAGAGCTGCCCTGCCCGCACCCTGCCCTGCTGGTACCTTGGCACTCAAAGCAGCCCGCATAGTGGGTCGGGGCAGTGGGGTGGTAGGGGTCCAGCAGGAGCAGGGGGTGGCCAGGTGCCCTGGAGCACCAGGGGCAGGAAGGAGCCAGGCGGGTGAGATAACAGCAGTTTATTTGAGCTGGGGATACAACTGAGCAGCGAAAGGCAGTTGGCAGTGCTGGTGGGGCAGAGAGGGGCAATGTGTGACCCGAGGAAAGACAGACGGTGGGACAGATGACACTGCTTGCTCCACTCGAGCTGTCCCTGGGAAGAGAGGGAAGGGAAAGGAAGGGGGACCCCAGGCTGCTCTAGCCAGGACTGCCCCAGTGCCAAGCACAGCCCCTCACTTAGGGTATGTCCCAGCACTCCCAGCTCTGCATCTGCTGAGCAGGGAGCTGCTGCATTGAGGTTGGGCTACATCCTTGCATCTTTCTGGCATCCTGGGACTGCCTGAGGGCCCTGAGGAACCTGGTGCCCCTCCATGTGGCAAAATGCCCTGGACATCCCCTGCTCTGCCATGCTCCTGCATCTGCCCCAGCTCCCTCCTCTCACTGGCACCACGCGAGCCTCCCTCTGACACTGCTGCCTCCAGCGCCCAGCAGGGAGCCGAGCTCCCCGGGGGGACTCCGACCCATCCGGGGGACCCTCTGCACATCGCCTGCTGCACTGAGTCCTCCCACAACCCCTCTGCAACCTGCACCGTGTCCTGTGTCCCATGCACGGCCCCGCCACCTCCTCCCAGCTGGCACCCAGGGCTGCACCCTCCAGTGGTCCCCTCAGTCCCCTCAGCTGAGGTGAGGGATTGGGGTGAACATGAGGATGGGGGTGAGGGATAGGGAAAAGGATAGGGATAGGAATAGGGATAGGAGCTGCCCTCTCTGCCTGGGCTGTGTTGGGGGTAACCAGCAAATGCTCCCCTTAATGTGACAATAAATATTCTGGGCTTTCTCTGTGGTCATCAGGGGAATAATGTGGGGAAACTTGTCACAGAAGGGATTAAAAAAAAAGAAAAAAAAAGCAGTGAAGATTTTGCAGGTTTGGGGAATTGACTAGAAAAGCAACTTTTCCTCTTGCAAAATCCAAACAGAAATGAAACCAGCATGAGCTGCAGACTGGGTTGTTCACCGTGTCTGGGAACGCTGCCTGTGGGCCTGTTCCCTTGGAAGGGCAGTCAGGGAGAGGGTGCCACCCTGGCCAGGGCAAGAGGGGACAGGTAGGGCAGGGGACACACAGGCGTTGGGGCCGCACAAGCTGTCCCCTGCTCTGCGAGCCAGCGGCTGCCGGGGGCTGCAAGCGGAGGGAGCCGCGTGGGGCAGCCTCTGCCCGGGCGGCCGCCTCTCCCGCTGACCACGCAGCGCTGCCCGTAAAGGTTAGGGCAGTAAAAATAGAGCGGAGCCATGGGATCCCGGGCAGGAGGAGGCACCTGACCCCGCCGGCACGCCGCAGGAGGCAGGGAGCTGCCGGAGCAGGAGGCGGCTCTGCCGAGGCAAGCACGTGGAATAGGCTTTCTTTGCACGCCCCCGGCTTGCTCCCCCTCCCGCGGCCTCCTCTTTGCCCCCATCCCTGGTTGCCAAGGCAGACTGTGAGCTGCATCCTCGTTTCAGTGGGGCAATGGCCCCTGCAAGGATGGAGCTGCCCAGACGCAGCCCTCCCGCGCCACTTCATGATGCTCGCCTTGCTTGCTACTGCTTCTTGGCAGCTGCAGACCCAAGGTTGGGGCATTGGCGATGAGGTCCCTGGGACATGAGCTGCCCTCCATCAGCGCAGGGGCAGGAGGTCCTTGTGGACCAGTAGAACTGGCGGCCGCAGCAGGTCGGGGGGAGGAGGACATGACCGTGGGGCAGGACTGCACTGCTCTGAGGCACATGGTGTTCCTTGGCTCCCTAGGGACATGTCCCGGGGGCTTTCTGGGAAGGGGACGCAGTTCGTAGCTCCTGCGGGCTCACAACCCCCACTCCTGTGGCTATGGGTGCTGGGTGAGGACAGGCCGCTGCTCTGCCCTGAGGCTGGGGCGCGGGGTGAATGGGGCCCTTCCCTCCATCCCCTGAGCTGCTGCCGAAAGGACAGGTTTCAGGGCTTTCTGGCTTTATGCTGCCAGCTTCAACTCCGGCCACTTCCCAAGAAGGCACAAAAGCTGCATGTCATCACCCGCAGTAGGAAAGCAAGCGCTGTGCGGGATGTACTAGGGACCAGCGGCACCTCTGCCCGCTCGAGGCCAGGAGCTGGCGAAGCTGCTTGCCTCTGCTCCAGGGCCATGGCCACTGCCAGCACCGGGTCCTCGCCGGGGCGAGCAGCCTTGGCGGGCAAGCGGGCACTCACGGCTCTAAGAGGTGCAGGGGGCCCCCGGCGGGAGCCCGCCCTGCTTCAGCCGCAGGCTCCCGTTCCAGCCGCGCGGGCAGATGTTGAAGCTGTGGATCCCGGGGCTCTTGGTCCCCGAGTCTTCGGAGTCGACGGAGATGTCCGAGTCCGTTGGGGAGCGGGAGGTGTAGCGCTTGGCGGGGGAG